CCGAGATATGTACAAAAAACTTAGTAAGGGGCGGGGCCACGCCCACTTTTCCAAAAAAGTTACGTCCAAATATGCCCCTCCCTAATGCGACCCTTTGCCCCAAATTTCACTTTAATATCTTTATTTATGGCTTAGTTATGACACTTTATAGGTTTTCGGTTTTCGCCATTTTGTGGGCGTGACGATGGCCCGATTTTGCCCATCTTCGAACTTAACCTTCTTATGGAGCCAGGAAATACGTGTACCAAKTTTCATCATGATATCTCAATTTTACTCAAGTTACAGCTTACACGGACGGACGGACAGACATCCGGATTTCAACTCTACTCGTCACTCTGATCATTTTGGTATATATAACCTTATATCTGACTCTTTTAGTTTTAGGAGTTACAAACAACCGTTATGTGAACAAAACTATAATACTCTCTTTAGCAACTTTGTTGCGAGAGTATAAAAATTGCCTTCCCCCTACCAAACCACTGCAGTGTCTTTCAAGCGAAGATCACAGCAATTTAAGGATGCCTTCTTGTTCAGACAAGGAGTCTGCTCACAACAAAGAATGTATTTATACAATATATGTCTACAAGTATACACATAAGCAGGCGACTTTGAAATCACTAAATACCCTTAATGTTTCGTCAAACTTAGCGAAAGAGAGTTTTGATCTCTAAGTCGTGCTAAGATCCTTTTTCACGATACATTTGCAAAGGGTTCAAGGACATATTGATATCCCTGTTAACTGCGAAGCAGATGAACAGGTAAGAACAGGAACTACACCACAATTAGGCTCCGGAAAATAGGAAATTTATATGCCGCTGGCTACTTGCAACCATTTTATTAACAAATATGGTATTAACATAGCTGAGTCTCGTTGGAATCAATCCTTGACCTGCACAACAAGCAGACAAATGTGATATGAATAGAATAAGGACATGTCTTCTATTAAAATTTAATTTAAGTAATGATATAAAAACTCTTGTAAAAGGGTTAAACGGCTGTAAGTAGGTTGAAGAGGAAAATACTATAAAGCATCCTACTAAAGTTCACATAAAAGAATTTGTGCAACATTCCAAATAGTACATTTAGTTATTGAAGTTACATGTGATA